ATTTTCCAAAAATGAGTTCCAAAAAGATAATTGTGTAAATTATTTACTGCAAAAATGATTTCATGAGTTACATTCGTTTTCACCTAACGAATGATAATTATATTCTATAAATATAATACACTTGAATTTATGTAAATATTTAGCAAAATCATTCATTTCCAGGCCTTTGCTAGACATTACACAAAATAATATATGCTTATTACAGAAAATCGTGTTGAAAATATTATGTTAGTGGAGTAATTTCTTAATGGTCCATAATAACGTAAATGAGTTATTTAAACAACTATTAGCACGTAAATATGATATGATACACATAAATTGTAGAGATATCAAGTAAATCTGAGACTCTGCTATTAGTATAGTAAATTATATTAATAATTTATATATGTAATTATTAGAGAAAGCGTATAATATTTTTTCAACATGTCATATTGCAAAATGATGAAATCAAAGCATGATACAATAATTAAAATAGAAATCTAATTTAAATTTAACAAAATAAATATTTGTCGAAAATGATTATTTCTCCAACTTGGTGCAAAATTATAATCAACATATTACTAATAAATAGTATATTGACATTTATTTTTATTAGTTCATGTACATAAAATTGTAATTATTAGAGAAAGAGTATAAAAAGTTTTCAACGTATCATATTGCAAACCGATAAAATCAAAACATGATATAATTATTAATATAATCAAAATATAATTTAAATTACAAGACTTTTTTTTCAAAAATGAATAAATTAAAAATAGTGTGAAATCATATTGAGGTTGTTATCATCAAAATAATTGAAATTATCAAGTTATCAAATGACATCAATATAAATATGACAATTTACTGAAACTTTCTTAAGACAAATTGCTGGAACTTCTCGTACCGTAACGAAATGTTCGAGGAATATCAAATGTTTTCAAATAAATTAGATTATTTTGAATACTGTAATATTGTCTAATATTTATGAAAATTATATAAACTGCTTTACAAAGTTAAAATTATTTTTCTAAAGTATATAAATGAACTTTAGAACTTTAGCTCAAATTAAAATTAAAATCAGAATTATTTTCGATATACAAAAAAAAAAATTTTGGAAAAAAAAATTGAAATAAAAAAAAATCCAAAAGCCATTGTTTTGTCATTCAAATCGGATGCTTAATTAATAAAATTATAATAATAGAATTATACAAACAAAAACTGCAATCTTTTCAATATTTAGCTCTGTATCTTCGAAATGGCTGGATCTGCCTCTGCCAAAAACTAATCATCACTTCTCTCGATCATGTTTTTTGGATCATTCAAATCGGATACTCCGTTCTCTCAAAAATTCGATATCTATTTCCTGCACTCTTTGCTCCGTATCTCCGTAACGGTTGGACTTGCCTTTGCCAAAAACTAGTCAGCACATCTCCCTGTCAATAGAAATCGAATGTGTTTTGAACCTTTCAAACCGGTTGAAATTGCGGACACACAAAACACACACACATCCATTTTTTCTGAGGTATGCCAAAATGTTCAGAAACCTCTGAAACATAAAGATATATAAAAATTTTCGATTTTCCGCTCATTACTATAACTTACCCTATAGAAAGTTAATAAAAACACACTATTATTAAAAATATGTCTGTGATTTCTTTTTGAGAAAATGTTTTTCTCATTTATGACTCTTCTTAAAGAGAATTGCTATTACACCATTTACCCAATTATTGGTGAGTGATCATTTTTGGATAGTAGTTAACCTGTTTCCCTTTTTTATCACAATTGTTTGGACATTGTATATTTTTGCTGTTCATGTTATTTGCAGTATATTTAAGTTAATTAAACAGAGATAAGCCAACCGTTGGGTTGCCTTCTATAAATCCATATAGTGAAGATAAATTATTACAACATCTTATAGGACTTTTAAGTACTGATAGCTCTTCGAATGCATATAAAAATATTATCAATTTCGATTTAATTGGTATTTTACGATGGCGCCGTTTTCATTTATAGAATGATCAAAACAGCACCTAATAAATCAGCTATAGGTACGATTAAGAAAGCTCTCAACACATTGCTTTAATTAACTTCATGTGTGCATAGTTCATGGAATCACACACTCTTTTGACGGTGAACATCCAATATAACAAATCTTGTTTTTGCGCCTCGACTGCATCTAAATTTAACACCACAGATGCGTTTTAATAGGAGCAAAAAACTATTGTCCCAATTCCACGATAAATAGAGTTATATATATATAATATATATATATATATATATATATATATATATATATGCGTTATGGAAATATCCGTCAAAGCGTTCTTTGCTTTTAATTAAGATGTTTTAATGATATTTTATAACCAAGCATTCTGAATTGAAATCTAAATATTTCAAAAGCAAACACGAAACTCTTGCGGAATCGCTGTTTGTCTAACAAAACACACTTCTACTTCACAAACGTGATTCATTTTTCTGTTATTAGGGCATTGTTTTTTATTGTTTATTTATTGGCCTCGCTTATTTATACTATACATATTTTTATATCGTTTTGCGTTCAGTCTTTTTACAACATACTCATTTATACATATTTATACAGACAAAATTTCTTATACTATTTTTATAACACCGGTCAGAAATTGTGTTCTATGAGCTATATTTGGTATCATACATTCTATACAAGTATATTTCTCGAGAGAGCTACCCAGTGGTCATCCACTCTGCAGTGTAGGGGTATATATGTAGCAGCAATGTCCATGAGATTATATATGACATCTATAACCTCAAGTGAAAATTTATTACCATACTGCTTGATATTGAGCTGACCGTGGTTGGAATCGAACCCGGGATTAGTTTGTAATATCCCACGTTCTTAACCATTACACCACGGCCTACTCTATATCCTATTCTTATCAAAGTCAAATTTCTCATACCATTTTTGTAACACCGATCAGAAATACGTATTATATAAGCTATGTTTATTTTCGAACATCCTAACATGGTATTTTTCTCGTGAGGGCAACCCAGTAGTCATCCACTCTTTCATTTTATTTATAAATTATATATGTAGATTTGGGATATTTATGTAGCAGCAATGTCCATGAGATTATATATGAGATCTATAACCTCAAGTGGAAATTTTTTACCATACTGCTTGATATCGAGCTGGCCTTGGTTGGAATCCAACCTGGGACTAGTTTGTGATAGGCGACGTTCTTAACCATTACATAACAGCAGACTCAATATTCTATTCTTATCAAATTCAGTATCACAACTTAATTATTTTAGTTTAGTTATTAACAAGTTTAGTGAATGTTTACCATGCGAATGAGGCCTCCTTATTCTTATTCTTGTATTTGCCATTTTGTGTACGATGGTAAAACAATTTTTAGTGATAATTTTTAACTATTCTATCTATATGTTCTATATATCTATTATATCAACTTATTCTTTCTACCTACAAATTCTATAGATCTATTATGTCTACCTATACTATCTATCTCTTCTATCAACCTATTCTATCTATCTACAAATTTTATCTATCTATTCTATCAACCTATTCTATCATTCTACAAATTCTATCTATCTATTCTATCTACCTATACTAATCTATTCTATCATCTTATTCTATCTTTTTGAAACATGTTTTCCAAACATAATGCCTTAATATCAAGCAAAGAAATCTTAAAATAAAAAGATGCCGAGCTTTGCTTTTAATTATTCTGATGATGTAAAAATCCATTGTTCTCAAATGGTATTTTGTCACGTGAAATAAAGCATTACAAAATAGTGATATAGTTGACACCAACATAAATGCAAAACAATAAAACAATGGTTGCAAAATAGGGCAAATACATAGTGCTTATAATTTCTGGCTCTACAATTGCTATAAGAATAAAATATATTGATAAGAAAACGATAATACAATCAAATAGATAGGTAGAAATCCTACCTATTTTCATATACAATCTATCTATTTTTCCTTGCATTAAGAGAAATTCTAATAATTTAATATAAATACAGTTTGGTATGGCAAACACGCAATGCCAAACTATATCCTGATCGACCCATAACTAAAACTAGTGGTGTATGGCAAAATAACATTTAAGAACAATGGATTTTTACATCATCAGAATAATTAAAGGCAAAGCTCAGCATCTTTTTATCATAAAGTTACTGTGCTTGATTTTGAGACATAATATTTGAAAACCATGTTTCAAAAAGCTATATGTATTTTAAAAATAGTATACAGATGTGATCCAGAGTTAATTTTTCTAGACTCAGGATTGTTACATTTTCACACAATTAATTAAAACGCATAAATCATGAAGTGAAATTTTAAAGTAGCTAAACTTCAGATAAGATAAGTGCTTCGATTCATAAATTATCAATTAGTCAAGTAGTCAATTATCACGTTGACGTCTTAAGTAGATGACGACCGTTTTATAAAATTCCAAAACGTGACTAAAGCTAGATTTCTAAACGCTCACACGATTATTAGTCGGATGAAGTGCTACATCAGTATTGAATAACATCAGATAGTTATAAACCCAAAAATCAGATTTATATGAAAAATGCATTATGATTCATAAAATTGAAAACATTTATAACGTAGGCGCTAAAAAGTGTCACCAACAACAGTTTTCCAACGAGATTATGTGACTCGTTCACAATCTATTTACACGATTTATTGGAAATAGTGGGGGTTTATACGATTTACGATCTTATCGAACATTTATGAAGATAAGCTAAGATATTGTTGACATTTCGCGTTTTTGACGCCTCTCCTTTATTTATTATGCTCGGTACTATTACACAAGATGCGTATACTTGACATATATGCCGAACAAAACTGCGGTATCACGTTAGAAAAATGAGTTGGCGGTAAAAGGTATGAATGGAATTTAAAACACGTTGTAAAAAAAACTTGTCCAAGTCAATGAAACAAACTTAACGAATTGCTAACGCTTCTGAATGACTGCGCAGGTGGAAGAAACTAATTCAGAAAATTTATGTTCCAGAATATTTCATACGTGAGCGGAACAATTTTTCTTCAGGATGTCGGGATTGACGCTGTCATCTTTATCAGGTATGAATTATAAAATGTATTATTTTTAGTTTATCAGTGTATAAAGATTACCATTGCATATTAATATATTATAAATATGTAGAGTTACTTATGAGTTCCTATAAGCAACCCAAAAACTACACCAGAGACCTAACTGGACCAGACTGAAGGATTTCCTCTACTTTTTCTAATTCTTCTGATATTTTGGCTTTAGGAATAGCTTATCTAATATTTCGTTATTAGAGTATTTCTTGCTATGATAACTGTTCATTTTTCTCCTGTTCGTCCAATTTATCACCAGGAACAAATGTTTTAAATGTTTTGGAAATTTCTCTTGGGCCAGACTGAAGTATTTTCTTTAATTGTTCTTCTTCTAATGTTTTGGCTTTAGGAATAGCTTCTCTAATATTTCGTTATTAGAGTATTTCTGACTGTCACAACTGTCCATTTTTCTCCTGTTCGTTTAATTCATCACTCGGAACAAATGTTTTAGGTTTTTTGGCAATACCTTCTGGACCAGACTGAAGCATTTTTTTAATTTCTCTACTTCTTATAATGTTTTGGCTTTAGAAATAGTTTCTCTAATATTTCGTTATTAGAGTATTTCTGACTGTCACAACTGTCCATTTTTCTCCTGTTCGTTTAATTTATCACTCGGAACAAATGTTTTAAATGTTTTGGAAATTTCTCTTGGGCCAGACTGAAGTATTTTCTTTAATTGTTCTCCTTCTAATGTTTTGGCTTTAGGAATAGCTTCTCTAATATTTCGTTATTAGAGTATTTCTGACTGTCACAACTGTCCATTTTTCTCCTGTTCGTTTAATTCATCACTCGGAACAAATGTTTTAGGTTTTTTGGCAATTTCTTTCTAAAAATCCTTTCTTTTTTTATTTAAATGATGCTATGACTTCTTCACGTTCCTTTTGTTTGATTTCACGGCAATGCAAAAAACGTGGGTATAGTAATTTTTAAACTACTTATATTACTAATACTAATGAACCTTCGTATCTAAATTAAACAATTCCTGAAAATTATTTGCAAATAATTTCTAGTGTTAACCATTTTTAAAATATAGTATAAATGTAATAATATGCTTTTATTATTAATCAATAATTTATTATAAATCACATCATATCATCCAATATGCGAAACAATTGAATAACAGATGTTCCACGTTATCACTATGGATTTATTAAACAAAACAAAACAATAGTAACATCTAACTTTTCAACTTTTCATTTATAATACACAAGAATTCAAAAATATATATTTATGTACAACTATTTTTTTACAAGTGAATTTAAAACAAATAGTGCAGTATATTTCAATACTTTTGATGCAGAGCAGAAATAAATAAAAACAAATTTGGACATAACCAAAAATATCGCCATCCGTACCGCAATCGCAATAAGTATTTATTTAATTTCATTTTTGCCTATTCCTACATATTTACGTCTTATTTCAAGATAAACAGAATATTATCAAATACGTCGCTGTTTCATTAATATTATCAGTTTTATATTTATGTAATTGGTTCTATTCGCAGACTTGTCCCGGCACTGGGCTCCTCCGCAATCACGCGGTACTGGAATGGATTCTCACATAAAAAATGCGACTGAATGTGACCGTTGCGATTGCTGTCCTTATGGATATCACATCCATCTTGATTTCGTACGGTACTGCGAGAATTTGGCGCTGGTGCCTCCAAGCTCCCCAACGCCGTCTGAGCTACGCAGAAAACGCAGACGTAAGCAGCGCCAATCCATGGAGATGCTTCTGGGTCTTCTACCGCCTCTTCCTCAGACTCCTGCTTCGCGCGAATCCTATACCACTACTATTTCATCGGTTCCATCGGTCCCAGTAAGTATATTTTCATATAATGATCCATTTAAATGGAATCACCTTTTCTGGTCAATTCCTGGAGGACCTATATTTTTACTACATAATTTTAAAACTAACATGATTAATTTTTCATTAATGATGTTAATTTAAAAAACCTTCCGCAGTGTAATTAATTTTTCTTATTACAGGCAAGCCCTGTTACTCCAACGAGTACAACGTACAGTAGCTATGAGGATTTAGTAAAAGACCGAGCCCTGGAAGAAGCTGTTAAAGATTTTGAATCTACATTAGAAAGATCTTATAGAAAACGCAGTACGAACCACATTTCGCCAAGTAATCAGAATGATTTTTTTAATAAATTATGATTATCGTATAAAATTAATTTTAAATGCATTTATTATCCAGGTCCAATTCGGCTACAGCTTACACAAATTAAAAGCACTTTGCCTAAATATTTACCGAAATCAGATCCTGATATTCACGAAAATGGCCATGACGAAGATGCACAGAGTACAACAGCACTGCAAAATATACGGAGACACATGGCTTATAGCCTTAGAAGAGTTCGTGAATTAGAAGAGCAAATTAAAATTATTCCTAAATTACAGGTACCTTCATGAGAATTTACTTATGTTGTATTTAAGACACGTGCAGATGCATAATTGAAATTTTTGTTCTTTTAGATGCAAATCACATCATTAAAAGAAGAAAAGAAGAAATGGGAAAGTGAAATGCAGCAATCAAAAGAAATACAACCATCAGCAGTGAAAATGATTACCCCGACACGCGTAAACCTTGTTTCTTTAACCAGTTTAAATTCAAGAACGCGATCACCAACTCCGGAGCCTCAGCAATTAATCAAAAACACGCGTGATGCAGAAGTCATGTGTAGTGTTATTACAAGAAATGTTGGGATCGCTACTCAATCTACCAGGTGCAGAACTTTAGGTGTTGGCAGTGACAGCATAGAAGTTCCACCACAACCTATAAGATACAGTTCCTCTATGCAAACGGAACTATCTATGCATGACGTGTTGTCGCGTTTAGAAGCAGAACTGCAAATACAAAATATTCGTCAAAAACTTATTAAAGAAAAACCAGTCATGAAAAATATAGGCTCGCAAAATGACGTTTCAACTAAGAATAATTTCTGCCAGGTCAATCCGAGCACAAAATCTGTTGGCGTTGAAATCTCTATAAAACCAACCACAGCAGAAGTCGCTGTAGAAGCCAAGACCGAATACAAAAATTCAAGTTGCACAGCAAATATTGTTCAAAAATGTGCAAAGTGCGAAGAGCAGAAAAAGATAGACGAATCTAGTATGAATGGATATACTAATTCTTCCTCTCTAAGTTTGCTAAATATAATCAAAGACAAACCAGTTGAATCTAAACTAAATCTCAAAGACAAAGTGACGAAACATATTGGCACCCAAGTAACTCAATTCACAGAATCTAAACAAACTCAGTCTTCTCCTCGTTGTGACACAAAAAGTACTCAACAGTCGACAACTACATATTCTAAAAGCCAACAATATGACTTGGTTGGCGTTGCCAAATATACGGATACGGCCAACTTAATTGATATTAAAGATCAGCAATCTAATACAACACATCCGCAGCTTGTTGATGCCAGCTGTGGAGAAAATATTAAACCTCACGTTATGATATCGTGCGCTGATAATTATTGTGATACTTGCAAGGAACATATTAGAAGTTTAGCGAAAGCTTTTTCGGCGGCAAGTGACATATCTCGCATTCCTAGACCAACCACGTTATTGACGGCATCTAAACCAAGGTAAATTTACCGTCGTAAATTATTATTTAATTCTATTTAATATTACAATAATTTATTAATTTGGATTTTAGGAGTAAAAGTGAACAATCGCCAACTCCAAAAAGGCGGCCGATGTATTTATCGAGCATAGAACACAATAAATCATTTATTAAAGAAGAAAGTGCCCAGACTCCACCGCAAGAAAATAATAAATTTGAGACAACGCAAATTAGTCCGCATACAACAGAACAAAATATTGCACAAGTGCATCCGATTCAAACCACGCCTCGGCAAAAGTAAGATCGAAAAAAAAAATCATTTTACTATTCAGAAAAAATAAACATCACATAACAATTTTTAATAATTTAATTATCTGTTTGCATCTTAGATCAGAGCCAAGTAAAGAAATGAAAGCAGCTTTAAAAGTTTTGAACGATTCGGGCAAAAAATCGCCAAAGGGATATCAAAGTAGTTATTTAAGGAACGTTAATACCATCATACAAAAAGAATGGTTTATGGTAAAATAATACTTGCAATAATTAAGCAAAGTTACTGATGTTTAAGCACAAACAATATATTCATGTATGTTTCAGATTTCGAGTGAAAGTGAATCTGATCCTCAAGTTGTTTCTGACTATCTGGAATATTTTAAAAATATCTCAGATGAATTATTACAATACATAATAAATATAACTGATACCACCGTAAGTGATAAGAAATATGTTAATAAATTAAAATTATATATTTAACTAATTATGAAAATTTTTATAGGGCAATACAGCGATGCATTATGCAGTTTCGCACGGAAACTTCGATATGGTTTCCGTATTATTAGATTCTGGAATTTGCAATATTAACCAAGCTAATAGCGCTGGTTACACAAGTGTTATGCTTGTGTCGCTTGCAGAATTAACATCTCCGAATCATAAAGCCATTGTCAAACGTCTGTTTCAACTTGCTGATGTCAACATTCCTGCCAAACAAGTAAAATTCATTTTTCTTTGTATTCATTATTTCAAGCAACATTTAATGATAACGTAATGCAATTTTCAGCATGGGCAGACAGCTTTGATGTTAGCAGTGTCCCATGGTAGATATGAGATGGTCAATATGCTTCTAGAGACTGGTGCTGACATGAATATACAAGACGAAGATGGAAGTACTGCGTTAATGTGCGCAGCCGAACACGGACATGCAAACATAGTTAAATTATTCTTATCCCAACCTGAATGTGATTCATCGATTGTAGATGTGGTACGCAACAAATTTTCATCCAGTTTTCAAATTATTTTTCTTTATCCAAAGGTTTTTTTTATAACCATTTTATTCTTCCAGGATGGTAGTAATGCTTTAAAAATAGCATTGGAGGCCGGTCACAAGGATATAGGTGTGATGCTATATGCTCATGAACACAAATCTAGAACGAGTTCCCCGCATGGCTCCTTGCGATCTCATAGACATCACTCCTCCTCTACTCCATCTTCACCAGTCAGCCCAAGACGTAATGTGAAATCTCATAAATAATAATATAACCGTTACAGATTTTTTACATAAAATAAATTCCTTGTACACGTAACAAAATATGTTGAGCAATTCATTAAAAATTGTATTAGGTTTAAAGTATTCAAAAATTTGTACATAAAAAATTCTAAATAATCTCAATTTCAAATTAAAATTAATTACTTTTAAATAAAATTTAACAATAAATATTTTGTGCCATAAAATGACATAAATTGATGTACCCGTAAGTTGAATATAAGCAATTATTAAATATAAAAGATGTTTTAATATGCAAAGCTGAATTGAATGTTTCAATATTGTCTCAAAATAATCATGCTTGAAATGATAAAATTACTTTTGTAAAATAAAAAAGTGATACAAATAATATTTTAATTTAGCAGTTATAGTTTATTAGTGTATTATTATTATTATGCTTTTCATACCTTCATCAAAATAGTCAAAGTCTAATCGTTGTTTCAACACATACATTTTATTGTAATATAATAAACATTTTTCAGGAAAATTAAACAAAAATTTAAATTGTAATTAAGTTTCAAATTATAAAAATGTTATAAGCTATTGCATACTATATAAACTTAACACATTTCATATACAAACAACACAGTATCTGCTTTATCTTTTTTGGTACATTAATAATGGTATGTTTTTAATATTTGTGGCAATTACATTTATAAGTTTCCAAATATTCAAATAATATGTTCTATATAAATTGTTTATATATATATATATATATATATATATATATATATATATATATATATACATGTATAATGGAACAATGTTAGAAATATAAATATTTCAATAACATGTCAGTGTTAAAACTTCCTATAAAAATAGAACATGACTATGCAACAACTGTTGCGATTTTACTTATTACTATATCAGGCCAGTTTTTTCTTGTATTTGCTGAATAAATATTTTTATATATTTCATTTTTTTCATGTGCAAGAATAGTGTGCAGTAGAATGAGGTTTTATGTGCCTTTACACTTATATTATGTAATGAGTTGTTATGGATATGCCCATAGTTAAACTGGACCTAAGTGATACATAAGATTTAAAAACCCAATTTTAAGTTAATATCTGTTTCTCCATTATTAATTACATTGAACACTGTATCTCTCATTCAGCTGCACTTCTCTAAAAGATTGAGTACTCGCAAATGACTTATTCAAATTGTTTTTTTTTTTAATTTGCAGCAGTAAAAAAACGTATTGAGCAAGTTATTTACAAGCTCTATTAATATTATAAAATCATATTATTTCATATAAAAATAAAGAACAATATATTACAACTGAACTCAATTGAAAATAAATGTTTTTATATATCACACATTATTTTATATAACATTTATACAGTAAGTCATACAATCAATTAACATGACACTAATTAATTTTAATTGCCATTATGAATATCATAAAATATGCCATCTAATAAACATCTGTTGTACCGTATAAGATTTTCTTCCACATTGTCTTATGAAAAACAAACAAATACAATACATATTTCTTACACAGCTGTTACAAATATAGAACGCATGCACATACATATGCATATTCTAGAATATTTTTAAATTTGTTCAAACACAACACTTTAAAACATCAGATATATATCTTTATTTTAATTATTCATAAAAAAATAAAATATTTGTCGGGTTATTTAATAGGAATTTAACATCAGATAGTGAGCAACAGCAATTATTAATAACACTAGTTGTAGTGCGCTACCTTTGTTTCTGATTTAAGGTAAGCACTATTAAATGTATGTACATGCATGTGTATATATTTGTGTATACTATATTTATGTGTAGTACTATAGATTATGGAGTTTTTTTATATACCAAATACCATATATAATATAATGAAACATAATTCAACTCAAATATAGTATGTGTTCATAATTCCAATTTTTTCTGCATATATCAACAATACATTGTGAAAGTAACTGTTGAAATTATAAACTATGGTTTATTTAAAGCAATTTAAATAAACATTTAACTTGAAAATTTATTATATTAAATCTTTAAAAAAAAACAACATATAAAATATAACATTTAAAATGCAGCAAAATTATAACACTACTGGCAAAAAACATTAGTAATTTTATTGTCCTACTGGTTATGACATAATAAGTATAATCTGTATATAGACTCTGCAGGATATGCATGATATCATACATTTAACCAACCCAATTACAGCCTTGTTATTTCAAAGCAAGTGGAAATAAAATAAAATAATTCATTAAACCACTGTATGCCAAGATCTTGGCACAAAGTTTCTGTCAATTTTAATTGCAAAATATAAAAAGCTTTTGTTTAAAATAACAACTAGAATGAAATATTAGACAAAGTATTGGGATTAATACGGCATCCACATTAAAAATTATCATCAGCATACAATGTATTGAAATAATAACAATTAGGTTGTTAAAATAATGATATACAATATCACAATCCATAACAATAAAAACAATGTATGTACATCTTAGTATAGATCTGACTAATAAAGCAATAGTAATAACCCTGATGAATGAAGTTTGACATGGCAGCAGCTATCATTGGTATAGCATCATCGATGCGTAAATCACATGTTTTGACATGATGTCTGGTAAAGAAATAACTAAAACATATTCTTAATACAATACGCTAACCTTATATTCTCTAATAACTTAAACCAACTTTTAATCATATAAGAAAAATTATTCCTAAATTAGTGTAAGTTATAAATATGTATATATAAAAGTAAATATTCACTAAATTCATAAGACCATAAATAAAAAAAATCAATTGGAATAATATTTAAAAATAAAATATGATATTATATAAATATAATATTTGCTTTTTAAATGTCACTTGAAAATAATGCTAGGGCAAAGCATTGATGTGTTTTTGGGCAACATATATTTTTTTAATTTCAAGTATCACACCTAATGTATTTTCTCTCCTATATAAGGAGATAATACATAAAGTTAGCCCACAAAATCAAAGTATGTTCTAGAAACAGATTTAGATGCATTTCTCACATAATTGTGATTACATCCTTATTTTAAAATCAAATTTGAATTTGCATGTGATCTATGTCCTGATTAACAGGGTTGTAACAACCATTGCTGTCACAAAAATTCAATTGTTGAAATATATGGTAAGATGTTTGAAGTGCTATATATAATTTTAAAAAATCTAACTCAGATCCACCCAATTTGGCAGTCAATTTAATTCAGTTTCAGTATGATGTAAAAAGTTCAATTTATAAAAAAAAAGTTCAATTGTAATTAATGAATTAAATCTGGTCCCTGTTAGAAAGTTATGATCATACATACAAATGCAAAATATACATTTACAATTGCATAACACATGTATAATGGACTGTAACTACTATAAAAATATTATATACAAAAATTCAAATCATTCAGGTACATTATATCATAATTTCAATAATTACACCGGAGTTCAATATCATCTATATACAGTGTTAATAACTTAGTGTTTCACAAGTAACATTAAATAAATATATTTATTAAACAAGATAAACTTTATATTCTAGTCACATAAATAGAAATATATAAATATGAAGAGTGACATGTTATTTCATAAGATCTATTAAAATTTCTAATCTGATAGTTACCAGTCAAAATATAGTAAAAAAAATTTGCATGGCGCAGTACAAATTTTTAGTGGTCACATTATATCAATCTGTATACACAATAATAGCTATAGCCACCTAAATGACGATAAAAATATATTATTTCATAATACCTATATTACATGTAAAAATATTAAATTCTGTATCCTTATAATGTGTGTATCACACATTTGCAATATGTAAAATATAAACAACTCTATTATTACATTAAATATAAGATCACATAAGTTTCAAAAATACCTCTTTGATATTTCAAGTGCATTGCTCTCCTGATTAGAGAGCAATTCACAATGCAAATTTGTAATGTCACGATATACTTGGATAAATATTTCCAAATACAATGGACATGGAAATTATAACGACTCTAATTGTCAGAGTATGCCAAAATATTATTTGTTATTTATATTTTGAATTGACAATACTCTAAAGCTTTTGTTTCATTTGCAGCTTTTAATCAATTTTAAAGCTGAATCAAATTATTGTGGATTCGTGGACATCAAAAACAAATTACACTTATCCCCATTTTACACGGTACTCGTTTTCAATCCTACAGGTTTTTTAAAAATCTTTTTTTTTTAGCAAAATTTATTAAATTTGCATTTACACGAAATATAAACACTAAACTATAATTTGCTTACATCTACAATTAGATTTTCATTGTTTCACTTCCAAAAGACAACACTGCAAAATGTATGTTACCGTTACAAATTCTTAGTAATCTATGTCTATTATGGAAATATGTAAATAGGTGGGAATCCCTGCTTTATGATCAAAACTAAATCATATTTTATTAATTTTGATAATTTATTAAATGCGTTCAATATTAAAGATATGATATTTACTTTTTGTTCAATGTGTTTGTTATTCATCATATTAAAAACTGACAAAATGGGCTTTTTTATAGTGATTTTCGTTTAGCACGATTTTTTATGAAACATATCTTCCGTGTAAAGCGGGGAATAGGTGCACAATCAATAATATAACAAATGCGTTTTCAACAAATTCATGAAGAAATAATTTTTTCCAAATATATTTATAATTAGGTACCTGCCGCATAAATTTAATGATCAAATATATGAAATGTAATGTTTAAAACCCAACCCAATGTTCTATTTCCTTATCTTACCGCCTGCATTTAAAAAATGTAGAATTCACAATTAATTGTAAATTCTAGGTAAAATAATATAGATAACATTTACAAATGTCTGCTAGGTATGATAAAAAAAAAGATATAATAATCCTCTATAAAATGATTCGTTCTTAATTCTTTAATACATGCATATTATTTGATTAACATTAAGTGATTTTCCACTATAAAATAGTATCAGTAACATATAAAATAAAGAATTTGATGTCAATGAAAAATTGATAAAAAACTTCATATAATCAAGTAAAAGTATATAATATTAAAAACCATTAGTTGGTATCCTAATCCATTAATATAACAATAATTTGATATATAGTTTATATATTATATGAATGCAAATTACCACCGTATGTCTTTCAGCTCTTAAAAAGTCGACTGAAATATTACCTAATAAACTGAATAACGAAAAGGTAATCCAAGCTTTATATTGGCATATATTAGAGGAGCTTACAGAAGTGAATTCTTCTAAGCTGTCATAATAAAATAATTTGTGGCTAGACAAAACAAATTAACAAAAGTTATTTAGCTACAAGGCTGATGACAGTTGTTTTCCTCAACTCAAAACATCAAAATAATAATTGTACGGGTACAAATACAATTCAAAATTAAGTCCATATTCCAATAATAAAATAGTTACAACTTTGTTGTTTATTACTCATAAATATCTCAAATTTTTGCAATGGAAGTGGTGAATAAAAAGCACTATGAGACTGACAAACATCAACAATTGATGAAAATACTACTCGGAAAACCTGCCTAACCTTGCAGTTATATTTTCCACAACACAAACCAAAAGGTTATATAACTGATTAATAATATGAAGTTATATCAAAATTGATAAGAAATCCATATCAAATTAATTAAAAACGCAGCTAAAGTTTTCAACGATATAAATTGATATTTGCGTAATGTTAAAATGATGTAAAAAAACTATGTTTCATAACAAACATCTTAGTCGAATTACACGCCATCGCTCCAAACAATACATAGCACATGCATGCAAAGCATAGTGCATGTATTTTTTTTTTAATAATACTCAGTATAAATCTTTGCACTTAAATGTAAGACTATCAATAGTTTTTATATATATAACTCTAAAATCGATATTAATAAAAATTTAAACTTACTGATTATTAAAAATCATCCATCGCACTGCTCGGGCCACCACCTTGAACTTTCTCTAACACTTTGTTCACATACTCCGTTGAATGACCAGCTATCTTGACTTCTGCAGATATAATATACTTTAAATAATAGCTCTTTTTATGAGTTTTATATTTAGATTTTTTTAGATTCAATTGATTTCGTTTTTCGTTTGTTTTAGTATTTTTTGATAATAAGCAATATGTAAATTCAGGGCATTTTGTTCATTTTTTAAATATCTTAAAAATTAAGACACTGTGTTTCATATACGTACATGAATAAAAACTAGATGAAAGTTACTAACATATAGTAAAAACTGTTATATATACTTAGATTTTAAAATTTTGAATAATTCGTTGTTGAAATGTTGAGATTTTTGAAATAAAACTTCTTTAGGCGTGTATGTGAATAGAGATCTGTCGTTGTATGCGTACCGATATCAACAAGGAAATCGGCATAGATAAAAAAACATTTTGTTACATTGTAGTACATATCTTCATTTAATGAAAAATGCCTGAATCAAAAGAATATTTTACCCTGTTCCTTGAAAATATTGATTAATAAGATTAATGATTAGTTAGTTTATTGATTAGAAATAATTTCTATATTATTCGTAGTTTCTATTAATCTTTGAAGGTATTGAAATAGAAAATATTTTTCAGGCAAGACAGAGATTACAACTTTTCAAAGAATGAGATTATATTGCCAGCGAAAAAGTAAAAAAAATGCAAGCTTCTTCAAACACAATTACATGATGAGTGAAGTTGTGAAAACAATATTTGTTTACGCGTTATTTAACATAATCCACTGTGTGAACAAATATTATAGAATTTATTAATTAGCAAATACTTCATTTCTCTAATGAAGGTTCATTTCTAAATGCTAATTACAATGACAAACCGATCATGTCATATTTGAAGTATGACTTTAATTACATTATTGTTTTTAAATATTATACATATTTTTAATGCTATTATAGATATATATTTTATAATTTATCATATAAATGTGTATAATGGTTGACACTAATAAATGTGTGCATCACGAGTGTTACCATATTACTAATAAACATTATTCAAAATAGCATATAATGTATTTATTTTTACTTAAATGCCATATTGTACAGTAGCAAATAAGTTTTACTTCAATCATGTGTGAACTTTACACACACTCTTTTTTATAATTTAAATCCCTTTGCTTTTCTACTCTATATAGTGCATTTATTGACAAATTTCTTGCCTATCACCCGTATCAGTTTTGGCCTGTTTGGCTATCCGCACATAATATGTTAAATAATGTTTGTGAAACATTTAATGTAATAATGAAATGAACTTACTTGTTGCGTTCTTCACAACTTTCTCCAAATGCTGATTCAACTCTTCTTTATTGCCTTGATTAGTAAATTTAGCTAATAGTATTTGTTTTACTTGAGTAATTCCATTCAATAGTTTCTCTGTAAATAAACATAAGAACATTAGCCATAATTATTAAAAAATAATTATGAAGTCATTAATATTTACTGTGTTCATGTTCAAGACCATATAGCTTCAATTTATTAGCCTCATGCTGAGCTTTTTTCTTCAATCTGCATGCTCTTGAAGCAAGTTTATTCTTCTCTTTTCTGGTCTTTGGTCTGACATTAAATGGCAGCTCACTGACTGGTGTCATATCATTGATGACTCTGGATAATTTATCCAGTTCTTTACCTATATTGCATAATTTTCTTGGGTTTGGTGTTAAATCATTTCCATCACCTTTCCTGGCCTTTCCACTGTGTTTTATACCTCTGACTGAACAATGAGGACTAAAAACTGGATCTGTTACTTCATTTAGTACATGAGGATCTTCTAATTTAGTTTTCAATACAAGTCTTTGTCCTTTAGGGCCTTTCGCTTGAACGTTATATTGCCAGAAATATCTCTCCTTTTTGGAGAGACTTGATGTTGACATTTTTGGGCCAGTGGGACCATAATTATCCTCGTTATCGGTATCTGTAAGTAATATAGATGATACTTATAATTTTTAAAAACCACACCTATATTTGCAAAATAAAGCTTTAATCAAATAGAAGCAACTTCACCTCCTATATTTTAATTTAATAATAATTTGTTTAAACGAGTTAATATGCTATATTAGTCCTTTACTGATATTCCTACCATTGTCGCTTGAATATTCTTCTGAATGATCTGAATCGTCTTCTGAATCAAAACCTTCATCATGTGATAAATCAGGTGCTTCGGGACTTAAGACACCTCCAGTAGATAATGATGATGTGGATCCAGCTTCTGCTAAAGAGCCTGAACAAATAATGCGTTAACTAATGTATAAAATAAAAGATATTATAGGTACCATATTGTCAGAAGAATAAATAAATCAAATTGTCAAAAGAATAAATAAGAACAAAATTTAATAGTCCTTGTATTAATAGCTTTAAATAAGTTATTGTGCAAGTTTATACAAATATAAGTATGTTATTTAAAATTAATTCCATCTGACTCTAATATATAGATCTTAACCCAAATAAAAGAAAAATTTTAGATTCATTATAAGTCAGCAACAAGATTATTTATAATAGATATACTGCATATACTCTTAAACCATATAAACATCTTCTACTAACCTAAGTATTTAAAATAAATCTAATGTATCAATATCAAAAGAGATTGTACAGAAAGGTTAGTTTATGGTAAGCAATTGTAAAAAGAAATTTCTAAATCACATACAGATTTGTCTGTATTAAATTTCAAGGCAATTTATAGACAAAAAAATAATTACCTGTGGACAATAAGTGTTGCCTGGGTTCTCTACGCTGCCAAATTTGATCCAAACCCAGATGCGTCGGTGCAGATGTGGATAAACGTGACTGACCTGACATTCGATTTGGTCTGCTATATGATACTTGCCCAGGAGCCCCGGTCATAAGAGTCATAGGACTTGATCTTCCAGGAACAGAATGCCCAAGAACATTCCTTTCATTACTCCCACTTGAGAATGCTTCTTTCTTCAAGAGTAATTCATGAAGCGTGCTGTGTTTTTGTTGCAAAGTAGTTGTTAAAGGTGGTGTTACTGAGGACGTAGATTGTTGCAATAAAGAACTAGTTGAACTATGTTGACTAGCAGGAGAAAATGGTGTGCCTAATGATCGGTTACCCAATCCCACAGGATCATAAGGACTTGTTGGAGACTCAAAGCTATCACGATAATAGTTTAATTGTTGAAATGAAGATGTTCCAAAACCTCCAGGACTAGGACTGTTATGCAGAAGATTTCCATTTAATGTATTCAAGTGCAAACCAGATGATGGAAAACGAAGTTGTGATCCATTATCTTGGGAATTTATGTAAAAACTATTCTCTTCAGGTAACAACAAATCATCAAAATTCAAATCCTCTAGCAAAGTATCATCATTTGCATTTAATTCTGCTAGAGTCGGACCTTGAATCAAATCTGCTTTATCCACTTGAAAAATATCATCATCATCCATACGAAAAGTCTCAGTTTTTCCTTCAATATCTATTTTACTATCCCATACTGAAGGACTTAAAGTTTGATAAAGTCCAGATGTGGAAGGCACTGATGAACTATTGAAACCTGAATGTTCAACTGAAAATTGAGTATTCGGAGACTCAGTTATATCAAGGTCATAACCAAAATCTCTAAATTCTAAAACATCGAGTGGCCTTCTCGTAGGTATTGGCATGCTCACAGAAGAAATTTGATTCATTTCTAAGCCTAAAGGCTCTTGTTTCACAGTAACGCTTGATCCCATAAACATGTCATTATTATACATTGGATTAGCCATTTTTATAGATGATGGGCAACTGCCCACAGATTCAATTAAAATATTTTGATTTCCAAATATCTGAAAGAGTTTAACAGTTATATGAAGCACATATATCAGCTGTCTTAGAATTCCAATTTATTTCATCATAAGTAGCAATGACACTAAACCATAATAAAAAAAATTGTTACAAAACTTGAAAGATGACACACGCAGTGCGTTTGTACACTTATGTGTGTTGACCTTAAAATTAAAACTGGTACAGGAAATAAAATTTACATGTGACAAATATAAAACACTCACGGTATGTCATATAATGTTTACATGACAACATATTAATTCGAAATATTCTGACGTGATTTTTGTTTCATGTCAATGATTCGAAATCGATATGAACTACACTGTCGATTATTAATTTGTATCTTGATTAAATTCTAAAATATGCTAATGCAAAACACTAAAAAAAATTCAAAGGTCACATGAACGCGATCAATGGCTCTCAGCCAATGCAAAGCTTTGTTATGATGAAATGCCCCACCACCGATCATATTAGGAACTTACAAGAAAAACACTACATTGTTTTTGTCGCAGGAAGATCTCGAATCAGCTTTATCATGCACTAATATATATATTTGAACAATTATAATGACGATTGCGTAATATGGTGCAATTGTGCAACGGGTTCGACTTTGAAAATCACCACGAAAAGTCTATTCTGCACACAATATTTTGGTCATGTACATAAACATGACACATACCAACAAAGCGTATAACACGTATAACACAGTCAATCAAAACACTGAAAATTGCATATGTCACGTTGTCTCTGCAAGATTAAATTTGATTAAATTAATAGTCGTACGTTCGATTGGATCGAATTAAGTCAACTAATTAACTAATTGCACAGTCAACGATTTATTTATCAACATCGTTTCACGATATACCTTCTTTCACTCACTCGTGCTCGCTCGTGTGTTGAAGTGTTGTGTTAGCAAAACATGCGATGACGTCAGAATAAAACTATACTCTGTTTATGTTTATAGCTTGTTATTATCAAAATTTGGCATAGTTTCCGCGTGGTGGCAGTAATAAATAGAAGGTCTCAAACATTAAATCTTTTCCTTGATGATAAATGATGATTGAATATTATCGAAAAAATGTATTTAATAATAAAATACTGTGTTAAATTGAAACTGGATAAAATTTGTTTGAAATCAATTTGCAAAAATTGTATCAACAACCGATAACTTCATATGTAAGCACAACACTTATGATGCAATATTTAAGTTATGCATTGTAATAATATTTTTATTCCTGATAAATTATTTTTTACGATAATAAAATATTATTGATTAATTCATCTTCCAAAATCCGCGATATTTTTCTTATAAATATGTTACATTTATAGATTGAAATTATTTTAAGGTGTGAAGGCCAGTATTTAATTCTTACTAAAAATAAATTGCAGATTGATGTGTGATGTTTACAAACTTATTTTGATGTTCAAAAAACGTGCTGCTCTCTAGTCTACTAAAGCCTCTATATATCAAGAATCTCGGCTAAATAGCTTCGCCCGATTGCTGCAGGTAGCGCCATCAATATCTGTTGAACTTGAGGTAATCATTTAAACTTAACGTAAGTATTTTCGGTAAATCAGCAAGGTTAATTATCCATGCAATTCTTTTTATTAGTAACTTATACGCAGAAACAAATAAAACTTTGCCTGTCATACCAAAAATTTACTCAATTCTTCATTCCGCCAGTGCATGTGAATATTTTTTGAATCATTCGAATCGGACGCTTCGTTCTCCCAAAAACGAGTTGCCATTTTTAGCACTTTTTGCCTGTTAGCTGGATCTTTGCGAAAAACTAATTATCAATCGCCTCTCTATCAATAGGAATCGAATCCGTGCTCTTGAAATCGTCGACAAAAATTTGCATCCGCACATACATACACGCACATTCATTTTTTTAGGGTATGCCAAAATGTCAGGAAACTTTTGAAACCTAAATATATAATAATTTTTTTTTATTAGTAACTTATACGCAAAAACAAATGAAACTTTACCTGTCTTACCAAAAATTTACTCAATTCTTCACTCCGCCCATAGATAAATAAGTATAAATAGATGGCAAACACGGCCGCTTTGATGTTACATCAATTATAATTCTTTCAGCATTCAATAGATGTCGCCACCAACTGTAGCACGTAAATTTACCATTAGGTTCAATTCTAGATAAGATTTATTTGAATATATAATATAGAAAAGATACTCCTGATTAATTTGACTAAATGAAATTAGAACAAAATATACGCGTATCAAATATATTTTCAACAAAATCACAAATATCTTGTAAAAAATCTATGATGAGATAAAATTAAACATTTTTTCCATTAAAAAAAATATATATTTCATGACTCCGCCAGTGCATGTGAATATTTTTTAAATCATTCGAATCGGACGCTTCGTTCTCCCAAAAACGAATTGCCATTTTTGGCACTTTTTGCCTGTTTGCTGGATCTTTGTCAAAACCTAATAATCAATCGCCTCTCTATTAAGAGGAATCGAATCCGTGCTCTCGAAATCGTCGACGAAAATTTGTATCCGCACTTACATACACGCACATTTATTTTTTCTAGGATATGCCAAAATGTTAAGAAACTTTTGGAACCTAAATATATGCTTAAATTTGCATTTACGATTTTTTTCTCTACGGGAAGTTGATAATTACACTGATTATGAGACGATCTATAGTCTTGAATCGTTTGTTACTATAATATCATCCAATAAAAATTACAAACTAGTGGGGCGCATGTGCCTTAAGGCAAATTGCTGAAACTTCCCGTACCAAAAAAAAATTTTTTTAAAAGATTAACATTTTTGAAAAAAATTTACTCTGAAAAATTAGATTTTTGAGAAACTATAAATTTTTGACAAAAATTTACTTTTTTTTGAAAAAAAGACTTTCTGAAGCAAAGTATATATTGAAGTATTTAATAAACCGCTAGACCTGCCTTCATAAAAATTCAATCAATTCTTCATCTTGTTACAAGTAAAATGTTTTTTGAATTATTAAAATCGGACGCTCCGTTTTCTTAAAAACTGAGTTATCGTTTTTGGCACTTTTTGCCCCAAATCTTCGGAACGGTTAGACCTGCCTTCGCCAAAAATTAATCAGCACGTCTCCTTATCAATACGAATCGAATGTTTTTTGAATTATTCAAATCGCTTCATCCGTGTTCCCGAAATCGCCGACAAAAATTTGTATCCGAACACACATACGCACACGCACACACACACACACATGCATCAATTTTTTCTAAGGTATGCCAAAATATTCAGAAACCTCTGAAACGTAAAGATATATAAAGATTTTCATTTTTGATTTTTTTGCGATTACTATAACTTACCCTACGGGAAGTTAAAAATATGTAAATTTAAATACAATAGGGCATAATATATTTAAAGATAATATATTTTTGTATTATAATTAGCAGCTAATTTGCCAATTTAAAAAAATAGATTAAAAATTACATTTTACTATTTTAACGTTTAGACCAATGATTACCAAAGTGGTTCACATGGACCCCCAGTGATCCATGATAACTTCCAGGGGATCCACGTCAGTGACAAAAATTTCGGTGTCCACGAAATGAAAATGGTGGTCCAACGGTAGTCAATCACAATATACCATGTTAATATCTATTTATTATATCTATAATAAAAATTCATGTACAATATTTATAAATAGAACTAAAAAATAAATAAAAATATTTAGTTATTTTTTATAAAAATGTGTAAGTTGTAGCATAACTAATCATTCGATTCGTGGTCGTAATAAGGTTGAGCTTGTAAGGATCCAATTTGCTGACTATTGAAAGGTTTAGCAAGATTTTTTGCTATAGTCATAGTATTTCTGGATACTAAAGACAAACGATTTGATATTTGTAAAATAGTATCACCTATCCGAAAAAGGTATATACTGGTCATTAGCCAGGATTAAACCTTATACAAATTACACATTTGTTGCCAAAAGTGATAATTAAATATTTACTTTTTGCTTACTTCATTTTTTTTATTATACAATTTATAAAAAGGTAGAAATTCATAAAATGATATCGGATAAATCGGATCCAAGGGGTCTACGACACAAAAAAGTTTGGAAACCTATGGTTTTGGCACTTGATAAGTTTATGATAATCCATCAAATCATACCAGGTAAAACAAAACATAAAAATTTTTAAACTTGAATCTTAATTAAAAGTAAATACCAAAACATAACTATAATTATAAAATAAAACTAGTGGGGGTGTATGACATCGTGCCTTAAGGCAAATTGCTGGAACTTCCCTTACCGCAACGAAATGTTCGAGGAATATTGAATGTTTTCAGATATATTATTATAAATATTGTAACATTGTATTATATAAACTGAATTGCAAAGTTGAAATTATTTGTTTAAAGTATATTAGAACTTTAGTCATAATTAAAAATAAAATCTAAATTATTTTCGCAAAAAAAATTTTTGCTACAATTTTTTCTTTCAAAATCAATTATTTTGTTAAGACAAGCAGAAAGTTTTTTGAATCATTTAAATCGAACGCTTAGTTCCCTCAAAAAGTGCCATTTTTTGCACATTTAGCTCTGTACCTTCGAAATGGCTGGGCCTGCCTTTGCCAAAAACTAATAACCACTTCTCCCAATCATTACTAATTGAATGTTTTTTAGATCATTCAAATCGGATGCTCCGTTCTCTCAAAAACTCGATTTCTATTTTCTGCACTCTTTGCTCTTTATCTCCGTAAATGCTGGACCTGCTTTTACCAAAAACTAATCAGCACATCTCTTTATCAATAGGAATCGAAAATTGTACACACACACACATTCATTTTTTCTGAGGTATGCCAAAATGTTCAGAAACCTTCAAAACGTCGAGAAATGCAAAAATTTTCAATTTCGATTTTTTGACGATTACAATAACTTACCCTACGGGAAGTTAAATAATAATTATAACAGCCAATAAAATAATTATGTGTAATTCATCATTACTCGAATCAATCTGTAATCAAATATGTAACAACGCTGAAAAAACAATCAAGATATACGTATAAAAATAGTAGATAGGGTAAGCTTTAAGTGATATAAAAAATCAGTAGTTAGGAGTTACCCGAGCCGTTTTCAATAGATGCTCTACTCACAATCAGACTTACTAATAAGATAAGAAAAGTCCTTAGATGAGAAAGGTGTTTAGCCTTTATGACATTGACAAAAATTAACAAGATTCTGAATTCAAAATGATTAAGTTATTAATTAGTTAATTATTATCGTAAATAATATTATTTTGCATAAGATGTCATACGTATAGTAATCGCATTAATACCAGTACGTGGTCCAGGTCCAGAGCAAGAAGAGATTAAGCAACGGCACGGAGTCGCGCGCTAGGACTGTTGTGCAATGCGTCTTCAGCCGGAGCAGTGCATATAGAAGACACATTCACACGAACACAAACAAGAGCGCGGACGGCGCGTCGCTGCCTGAAACATTTGTGATTTGCAACGTCCATAACTCGCGCGTCCCGCGACCCACGATAGCGGGATAAGCACCAGGGCAAAGAACGAACCAGAAATTTTCGTTTGATATCAGTCCCGACCTCCAGGATAACGACCCGTCTACTTGCAGCCCTACGAAAACCACGGTGCGTTGCGGGCCACATGTTCGATTAAAAAGCGGTCCGATTAAATATGAACGCGGTATTCATCCCGAGAGATCCAACAGTGCCATCGGTGATATTTCAAAATGTTCATGTGTCTTTCGAGAACACGGCGTAGTTTTTGTCATGGTCGCTCACTGGGACCCATTGATGTTACGCGTGTCGAACATTGCAAGACTCGACCTAGGTGTTGCACGAAGCTACACATTGTTAGGTGCATGTAAGACGCTTCAATTTTATTACTATCGTTTTTCATTTCGACCGGATTACTGTTGATATAGGTGAACATGGATAACTAATATTATCAACAACGATCACTTGTTAGTTCCGGCTTCAATACGTACGACATGTACATATATCAATACAGATAATTGAAATACAATTAATTCTTATGTTAGCAATAAGGCAGGGTTCGAATCGTTTATTTTAACCGTAGTTTAAAATTTTCGAAGGCCAAATTTTTTTTTTAAATTCTGCAAGAGAGATTTTTTTAGATTTTTTGTTAA